CATCCATGCACTGTGGAGGAGAGAACATTTTTAAAAGCTGTGAAGCGCAATTCCTTCGTTCCGTGTTGTGAGAGTTATGAGCAACGGCTGACACTTGGCATAGGGCCTAAGTTGCCCCTTATGTAATATTTTCCTAATATCGATGAATGTCAGGAATGCAGCGAATGGGATTTTCAGTCGTTCACGCATGTGTGGTGAGTCTGTTCCAGGGAGTAGTGACAAAAGTAGTTAACTACTCGCTATTGTGATCTTCTCACCTCCCACCACTTTCTGAGCTGCATCCGCACCTCGATCCGGGGGGGGGGGGGCTTTTCGAGAACTGCAAAATGTATCTCGTTTTTCCCCAGGAAACGGTAAACTCTCTCTCTCCCCCTATATATATCTCTCTATCTCTCTATCTATCTCTCTATCTCTCTATCTCTCTATCTCTCTATCTCTCTATCTCTCTATCTCTCTATCTCTCTCTCTCTCTATCTCTCTCTCTCTCTCTCCATCTCTCTCTCTCCATCTCTCTCTCTCTCCATCTCTCTCTCTCTCCATCTCTCTCTCTCTCTCTCTCTCTCTCTCTCTCTCTCTCTCTCTCTCTCTCTCTCTCTCTCTCTCTCTCTCTCTCTCTCTCTCTCTCTCTCTCTCTCTCTCATTACCCCTACTTGAAGTATTACTTTTGTAGGGATGTGCACATACATATACAACCTGTGACTAACGACCATCCCTTAGCTTGGCTTAGGGCCAGGGAAAGCGGTATTTAGTGGCAGGTGGTCCTTAGTTAGAGGTTTGCACCGCACAACCATAATTATGAATGTGACACTGTCCGTCCGTGCCTGGCGAAGTTGTCTGTAGTACCAGGCTGGTCGCTAGTCACGGTGGTCTTTAGTTACAGGTTTTACTGTAGTACATAAAAAAATCACGTGTATCCGGTAGAAGGCACCTGCCAGTCTAAAGCGCAGTTTATGAGTTATCATACCTGCAGTGTTGCGATCACATCCCACAAATCACCTGTGGGGACGCGGCGGACAGAGGAAAAAGGAATAAACAACTCCTTTTCCTAAGTCGGCAGGAAAACCGCGAGCTCCCATGTAGGGAGCAACACATTCTTCTCCTTTTCCTAGTGGTCATTATTATTTTTATTATTATTATTATTATTATTTGGAAAGGATTGGGAGAACTTCAAATTCAAAGGATCAGTCGGGGAAGTGAACTGCCTGAAAAGAGAAAAAAACGCCGTCCTGGTGGGTCTTGCGTTTTTTTCTCTTTTCAGGCAGTTCACTTCCCCGACTGATCCTTTGAATTATTATTATTATTATTATTATTATTATTCTCATATCCGTTCCCAAGGGGAACTCACGACAATGGAGTGAAAAACATAAACAAAAATAAAAACATGGTGATGTGGAGATAATAGTGTTGCATACATTGAGTACAAAATAATACAGATACAATCAGTGCATCACAAACAACGATCTGTATAAGCTCACCAACACCGAGCCAATATCTGGAATTGCGAAGCGAGCTAGATGGCGGTTACTCGGGCACATTCTACGCCAACCAATCGGCACAAACGGGAACCAAGTAATGATGGCATACCTAACTGCAGAGGAAACAACTAAACACAGGAAGGGAGCACCTCGGTCCTGCCTGGTAACCACCCTTCAGCGAGACTGCAAGCTAACTGCAGTTGCACTGAAGACGAATCGACACCTAGACACGCTCCGGGAGTTTGCGGCCGATCGAACGAGATGAGGCAACATCTGCTTGACCATCACATGAACATATGGACTGTCTTACGTGTGTGGTCGGTGCTTGTGCTCACTACTATATCAGGGTCCACAGTGGTCATAATAAGGTCATAATGATATTATCATAAAACGCCGACATACCATGCCACTTGAAGATCGCTTGAGGGTATGTACATGTATGCTGCGCCTGCAGAATACGCGCAAACAGTTCCTGATCTTGCTGTGACATAAACAGTACTAAACACCCCCCCCCCCCCCGATGGACGTCAACAGTAGGCGTGCAAAAGGGAAATTCCCTTGGAATGCCTTCAGCAAGCAAGTGGGAGAAATCAATCGTCATCCTGGTACGGATAGACATGCAGCAGACGCAATCCACATCGTTCTAGACAGAACACTCTATCCAATCACTTTAGAAATTAGACAGGACACTCGATCCATATCACTGTAGACAGTTGAACACTTAATCCACATCCTGGTACTACAGGAGATGCAATCCACACCCGCTAGACAGCAGACGCAGTAATCGTTCGCTTTGGCGCAGCCCAAGACAGGTCCCAATATGGAATCCTGCCAACCGATCCAAGATGGCGGATCATGTGATTACTAGCAATACACCAATTTATCTATAGAAAAGGATGTCCCGATAATTATGATGAGTTGGCTGTTGTTGCTAATACAGCTGTTCCTCTTGTGGCCGAAGTATTTTGGAAATTCTAACAGACGATGGAGGACGCGGACTAGAAAGTCACTGAGGGAAATGACACGTGGGTAGAAATGAAAAGGACGCCCGCCACATTTAACATTTTCTCCTCCTGGCCTCCCTATGTTGTACGGCATGGTAACAGTTGAGTTATCCAATTTGAGAATAAGGAGTGCTACAAGCTCTGTACTATGTCCGTTTAGCATGTCAGGGTCCGGTTGTCGTAACACACGGGCACGCATGCACACACGCACACACACGCGCGCACGTACAAAACATTGCACTGGTGTGAGTCGAGTCAAATGTACTCGACGACGGCACTGGTCTGTGAGTATGCAGTGAAGCTCACTTTTAGGTTTTTCTTTAAAATAAACACGAACGCGACGAAATTTGGGAAACTTGAAAGAAATTTAAAGCGGCGTTCATGTAAGTGCATTGTACTGGGCAGATGTCTGCTTACACGAAATTCTGCTAACAATGGGAATATTCCCTGATCTCTAGACATTCTGGGCGTAATGGTAGATGGGCAGCTCTCCTGGGAGCCTCACGTCAATCACACAATCCAGCAGGTGCGGAAGTCAGTAGGTGCGCTGTGGCGGAGCCGCCGAAGCCTCACCCTGGCGTCAAAGATCCTGTTTTACAGGTCGATGATCCAGGGTAGGTTGTCGTACGCTTCCAACGCCTTTCATCCGTCACTTCAAATTGGCAACATGGAGCCCCTCACACGTCTAACGAAGTGCGCTATCCGCGGCTTCTTCGGTCTGCCACCGTGGTCGCGCACGAGCCCGATCTTTGAACAGCTCCGCCTCACCACCCTGGAGGACATATTTAACATTAAGCTCCTCATCTTTGTCCGTCGTTGTCTGCTCTCCCGAGCTAGCTCCCTCTTCACCAGCTTCTTCGTGAGAGTTACTGGTGACCGCACTCGGGGAGCAGCACATTACCTCGTTCGAGTACCATTTTGGCCCGGTCCTGCGGGTCGAGCGACCATGCAGTTCATCGGCGCAGTCCTGTGGAACCAGCTCCCGCCTGATCTCCGTTCCGAGCCCAGCCACCTTCAGTTCTGTGCCCTGCTAAAAGCGCATCATGGCTCCGCTTAAATGCTTTTCGGCTAGTGTGTTTCTGTGGTATAGCGGACTGAAGAATAGTAAACGTGTTTTGCAATATATGTGTGAAGCTATTTTGTATATAGTATGTTCCCATTCCGTTTTTGCTTTGGTGTAGCCCTGAGGTTGATTGCTCATTTATTTCTACCCTTCCTCTCTCCATACTTCTTCCCCCCCCCCTCTCTCTCTCTCTCTCATTCCTTCTGTCGTCCACATGTATCAAAGGAGGCGAAATCGCCTGTTTGTGGTGCGACGTTAAATAAACTTCTACAACAACAACAACAACATTCGTGTGTTGTGTAGCATTCACTGTGGGTATGCAGGCATGTTCAACTGTGCATCCGCATGCACGCACTTCGCTATCAACAATGATCACACGTCAATGAAGCAAGCAAATCTTCAAACGGCGGAGAAAAGATTTGTTTGCTTCAGTGATGTGTGATCATGGTACTACTGGCTCTGTCCACTGGTCATACAGCACTGTACACAACCTGAGGACCTTAGACAACTCTGTGTACTCGCAGACATCTACACGTACCGGTATATCTATTCTGGTAGTCAGGTTCGGATCTTGTTTCTCTAAGCCCACCTCTCGTCAACGTCAGCTCTGAAATTGCCCCGCAGGTACTGCTAATTCGACACGCAGCCATTAGACAATTGACGCTGCGAATGTCACTTTTGGCTTCCCGGGTGTGCCTGTAGGCACCTCGGAAACCAAGTTGTTGTATACTTTATTTATAGTGGAAATCAAAACAGGCAAAATGCCTAATAACATTGGACCCACTGAGTGCTCCCGGTAAACGTTTTAAGTTGGACTCGGATGGAGAGCCGAGGATAAATTTATAGAAAAGAAAAAGGACCAAGGAACTACACGTTACGCTGTAACTGGACATTATAGCGTAACTTGCAGTTCCTTGGTCCTTTTTCTGTTCTATATTAAAACTGTTAGTTGAGCAATACTTTAGGCAGCAAGAAAGTGTACTTAGTATCCAAGGTACAGTACATGTACGTTTTATCCTAGCATGCTGTCAGGTATGGATCAATGCACCCGTGCTCTGGACAATGTACGTACTAAGCAAGAGTATGTATTATCAGAGTACTCAATATCATCAGAGTAGAATTAATATGTACACGAATGTTCTTCACTAGGAAGTATGGGCTCCAGCGGCAGGTATTGACTCTGTTTTCTCACATCATAGAGCTCACTCTTCCCGTGCCTGCCATGGTACATTGAACAGTATTGAATTATGCATGACTGCCAAATGGCTTGAGACAGGCAGTAGTTACCTACTTAAAGTCTTTACTGCTCCCTGTTTTGAGATCAGAGCAAGTCGACACGTTCTTTGTGGGATACAGTCTTGTGCATAAGTCTGCTGATGGTGGCACGAAGCAAGAAACTCTCCGAAGAAACAACTTTTCTTGCACTCGACCTTTTGAGTACCTGGTGAACACGAGTCGCTCATATGTACAGTTTTAGCATGGTTGCATTGCTAGTATTCCGTACGCACGCACGCGTTTGTGTATGTGTACGTGTGTATATGGTTTTTTGTTTGTTTGACAAACAGGATGATTGGAATAGAGTGAGGAGAGAGAGAGAGAGCGAGAAGAAGAAGATAGACCCAAACACAGACAGATAATTTTAGAGAGTGGACGACAAAATATACTGAAGTAGAGAATTGCAATCAATAGCGATGGGCAGAGAGCCTATAGTAATGCGACTGGGTGGCCCAAGATTCCCATTAACGTTACCCTGTGTCGTAATTGAAGGTAGGAACGAAAATTCTTAATCTTACCGCTTCTTGGTGTAGGAGATGTCCTCGTTTGTCTTCGCAAGTCACGGATAGACGAATAGGCAATACCACGGGAGTCAGCTGTTGATCATCAACAGCCTTTTCCTGCATTGACGGCTCTTGCCAGTGTTGCCTTTGTCCTGCTAATGCTACTTGAGAACGGTTTTATTCACAACACCATGAAGTAAGAGTCAAAGCAAAAAGACAACCCAATTTCGGAAATAAATAGAACACTCAATCGAAATAATTATAAAAGTGAACACAGAAGCTTCACACGAAATCGTTACCTAATACGAATGCCTACCGGCATGCAAAGGCGTCCTGCTAATGCTAGTATGCATAAAGCGAAATCTGGTAGTATTCGCTACTTGTACAAGATATCAGGTCTAAATGCGTCACATAGTCCATGCTATCATTCTCACTGTGTGATGACGCCACAATAACCACCACCGTAGTAAAGTACATAAATTATATCCAACAGGCACTATTCTCTGTGTACTTCTGAAGTACATCATCTCGCGCTCACCTTATGAAATTTTCATCTGTGCGTAGACCTCGTAGCATTCCTAAGCAGGTCTTGCTGTGCACAGGTCCGCAGAAAGGTGACAACTAGTACTGAGTACTGTAAAAGCCAAAATAGATAACGAAGTGCTAATTCCAACGAGTTAACGAGGAGAAATCTGTCGTTAAAAAAATTGAAATCGTTATACAGAAATCGATACACAAGTCATCAAGCGACGGAAGGCGAGAAATTCGTTGTTACTCCGAGTTTCGTGCGAGAGTACTCATCAGGCAACTTCATAATCGATACATATACTACATGTTCTATTGAGCGTTGAGAATGAGTGAGACTGGTTATCTTTGGTACACGTAAACCAGTCAATCTTGGCAAATCGTTATAATACGCGCCTCGCGAGAATAGTGGCTTTAAGTTTTACAGGCTTGTTTCATTCTAAGAAAGCCGCTCACGCTCCTGCGCATGTCCTTCCATGTAGAGCGTGCCTGAAGCACTGCCCATTCCCTATACATGTACATATACATGTATATGACACTGGTGGGGAATACCTTGTGGAAGCCCAACAGTATACTGCGACGTACATTGGAAGGGGCTGAGGAGCCAGTACATTGATTTTCCAGTGGCAACTAGTCGGTTATCACGGAAATCTCAAGGGCGAAAAAAGGTGGTTCGGAATGGCGTCGGTCAAAATAATGTGTCCTGAGATGAATGGTAATTCTGCACAGACACGTCAAAGTTTCATGCCTTTCTGGTCAGAGCTATTCTAAGCTTCCATTTGGTATTTCACACTCAAGCAGAGAGGTGACAATTCCCGTAAACGACCCCCTAGCGCTCTGGAGACACATGTAGCTTTAGGATACGGAAACAGCTCAAGAACATTATTGCCTTCCAACTGCCCAACGCATCTCCAACTCCCAATTAACGTGCCCAAAACAGGTTGGTCTTGTTTCACGTCCAGTTCGTGAACAGGTTATAGACAACTCATAAAACCAACTTAGAAGTTGCGACTTCGGCTGTATTAATGATCAATCAACTGCATCATCCCCTCACCCCCACCGTTAGGCGCTGAATCTGCCGCTAGGGTTTACCGGGTGTAAGCGGTCGTCGTGAGTTCCCTTTGGGAACGGACACGATAATTACTTAACTGGATTTTTTAGAACACGGAGGCTCCACTGCAGTCAATTCATATTATGATCAGTCAACACCACTGCACGAAGGTCGTTGACTCTGCAAATTGTATGCCGCAATTGTCCTCGCTGTGGTGATGGTGATGTGCGTGCAGAAATGTGCAGCGTCAACGACCTTTGTGTACATGTAGTGGGGGCGACTGATCATAATACTTAACTGCATCATAAAACAAATCAACAAAATACGTTTTCACCATCAGATAACTGTCAGTAGCATGTATGCTCATAGGTTGAGGGAATGGAAAAGGGAAAAAGTCGGAATAAAAATACGACTTTCACCACCAGGACAATTCTATTACGAATTGTCCAAGCCTCCCTGAACTCCAGTTCGTGTTCAGAAGTCGAGTCTGGAATGGGGAAGGGGGGGGGGGAAGAACCCACAAATCACCATTCCTTGCTAAACAATAGAGCTCTGTGGCCGCTGGCTAGCGTCAGATGCCACTAATAATAAAGTCTTCAGATTGTGATGTATTCCAACTGACGAATATCACCACCCGTTTGGTTCTGCGAATTCAAATAAAACCCTAGCGCTGGTGTTTAGTGTCTAGTGTTAGCGGTGGTCGTGAGTTCCCTTCGGGAACGGACACGATAGTTTACTTTGTTTAAACTTTTTATTCAAATAAAAACGTGTGGAACAAACACAAATGCACACTATGGGCTCGTCGCCGTTCCCTAGCCTCTTTGGTAACAGGTGGGCCTCTCGCATGTTGCCATTCGCGACGACTAGATTTAAAGGGAAATTTAATTCACCCAAGAACCTCACCGAAAGTAGTACGCATACCCGATCTCCCTGTCGTGCGTCCATCGAGCTATAAAGCCGGGACCTCTGGTCGGCTGAGCTTAATAAAATGGGCCCCACCACCACACTCCCTTATTCACTTTAGTGTTTGGAGAAACGTGGATTTTGTAGGGAAAACACAAAATGGAGGCAATATTAATCACCCATCCTTTGCCCGATCTGCATAGCCAATGATGCTTCATTGTCAAGCTTCTGGGCACGTCTTGCTCCTTATATTCACAAGAATTTCGATATAGGACTCGGATAGAGAGCCAAGGAAAATAATTAAATAGAAAAGACCACTGAATTGTAAAGTTCGTGACCCCTGGTTTTCATTCGAGTCCTGGATACTGGTGTAAGTGGTGAAAGTCAGTATTTTCTTGTGTGTGTGTGTGTGTATGTGTGTGTGTGCGTGCGTGCGTGCGTCATAGTGTGCGTGTATATTTGTGTGCGTTTGCAAGGCAGCAGTGCCAAGAGACAATTGAATCCTCCGCATCAGTTAGGTGGCTTCACTTGCTGTTAACAGAGGATTGTACATGTAAGTGACAGCTACTTTGAAGTATTAAAAACTTTAGTAGCAGTGGTGAGGCGTCATGCAGCTTCATTCATTGGAAAAAGGTTTCAGACGTCACGGTGGGTGCCATGTAGCACATTTTAGCATCAGAAATTGCATGTATATAACTGATCCTTTTCAAAATTTCACACCATTGCATACCTGATGAGGGCAATTTTGTCGAGACGTTGTAATAATTGATTGAGAAATGAGTTCGAGTTTGCGGAGTGAATGGGAAGAGAGCGAGTCTGCTCTGAAACCTTGTTTAGCTTTTAAAAATTATTATGCGATAAGTGACTCATCCATTAGTGATGTGATCTACATGTCTGTGGTTCTCAAAGCAATTCCCTCTCCGCAACCCACCGACACGAACACTACTAGCCACCAGCTGTGAATTGTTCTGAGCAATAGTCACTGCTTCCAACATCCAGTATTCATTTATTTTTTTATTTTAGCAATCGCGTGGTACAAGCCAGTGAAAAGGTTATGTGCGATATCCACTGCCATGGCGATAATAGAGGGGAGAAAGAAACAAATAAAAGAAAGGGGAACTGAAAACGGCGGGAGCTAGGGCAGAGCTGGATATCAATAATAATTGTTAGTACGTATGTTGTATTCTGCAGCATTCTTCTAGAACCAACTGGCAATGCGGGCTTCCTTGATCCTAGTCTCGAGTTTTCCCTGATCGAACAGCGGAGTATGCGGAGTATTCTCAGCAATCCAGACTAGACGTTGATTTCCCAAGTAGTTTTACCCGTTTACGCATGTCGGGTCGAAATTTAAGCTGCGGGGGTATTGATTCATGTGAGGCAAAGCGATTCCTGCTGGCAGCTTGTTCTGCTGTCGTTACCTTGTACACATACTGATGGCGAATACCTCCCCGCTAATCCACAATGTCCAAATCCTTGTGTCATCGGACGCGACTCTAAAGTGATCGACATTTGACGTATCACTCCCTCTGGCTATCACGTGGAACTAGCAGTAACCAGAAATAATTTGCCTAAATTTCTGAGTTTAAAATGATATCAAGCGCACAAGTACCAACAGCCCTTACCCGTGTCTAAAATTGACCAATCAGCGACTTGCGGGGTCTAAGGGGGTAAACAATTACATTTTGGGATGATGCTGTCCTATCCTGCTATGGATTATGCTTTTGGCGCAGTACACACTTTTCCCCAGATGGGAATACTTCGAGGTAATTGCAATGCTCATACTGTCTCCTGTGATAATTCTTTGACGTTCGCCGCGAGTTCGCCCAGGGACAAGGAAACAGAGACGTCATATGCTCCTGCCTTCTGGATAAAGAGATGCTATCCAACGGTTCTCTAATGGCAGTAATGCATTATTGCTGCCATGCAGTAGTAACGCTGCGCCCTGTTCAGCCAATCAGCCGAAGATGCACGGAATGTTACCGATTTCTTTTCATTGGGCAAGGTAAAACACCAAAAGGCGCAGTAGCCTAGCGCCTTCTTTCAAGCCGTTGGCGTGGAGGGTTCGACTTGTGAAGGCTCCACGTGCTCTCCTCGTGTGCTACGTATGTCAGTCGTGAGTCTGTCCAGCATCAGTGATGCTGTCAGGCGGTGTAACCTTCACATTTAGAGCAGACAACATCCCTCAATTGGCCACCGAAGTCGCTTTTTCTAAGGTCGAAAACTACAAGCACCCCCCCCCCCCCCTCCCGGCCTGCTCCCGCCCATTCACACTGAACTAACTTGTCTGCAGCACATGTACATGTACATTCTAACTGTGCTTTTGTTTGGAACTGGTCCCCCCCCCCCCCTTTCACTATTTCCGCCAAGCGAAGGAACGTATATCTCTGGTTCTGGGTGCTTCATATCCACTGGTGAGAGAGTGACGACTATTGGGTTTGCTGCATGGCTTCCTAGCATGGGTGCAGTGAATGGGATTTTCGGTCTTTGAGCACATGCTGGTGAGCTGATCTACTCACCTCCCACCGCTTTAGGAGCTGCATCTGCGCCTTGATCCTTGAAGGGTGGTGGCGTTCCTACGGATGCGGAAAACTCGGCCTCTATATAGAGAAACCGAGTCTCACGCGAACCGTGAAATTTTTTTTCCTAGCAACTTCGTCTTTCCACGCAAGAATGTTTTTACAACCGTTACTATCGTACTGCTATCTCAGAACTGTGACCTGCAGAGTTGAAAGATGCAACACCTGTCCAAGGTGCAAAGTCACCGCTGCATGCTCGTCTGTCGGACATTCACACTTCACACTGACCTCCCAAGATAGCACTTGCACTTTCTTGCAGCACCTAGCCAGGTGGTTAGGGTCGGCCCCACACACACGCACGGATGAAATCTATAAGAAATTATTATAACGAAACAGCATGCTGTCCGCAGATCGAGTAATAATTATTATTATTATGTGTAATTTACACCAGCAGTTTGAGCTTGCGCATTAAATGTGAAAATGGTAGCGGTAGATGAACGTTGCAGCTGTGTGTGCGTGTGTGGACAACAAAGGGTGAGTGCGTATCATTTGAAGAGGGTGAGTGCTACACCGTTTTCTTTTTACCATTTTCACATTCAATGCATAATTAGCTCACACTGCTGGTGTAAATGACGCTATGTGTAACAGGGCGAGCTGCTATTTCAAGCCTATTTGTGCTAATTATTATGTGCATATACATCTCACAACAGCAGTTGTTTTGGTTACTGTACACCTTGAGATTATTGCGATGGTCTAATTTCTGCGAAATTCGCGACCGCGTGGAAATCGCGAAATTTAGACAGCGCGAAAAGGAGATCCATGAAAGGTTTAGCAAGAATGCCACAGGTTTAGCAAGAACGCCATTCGGCAATCGCAAAATTAAAACCTCGCAAACCTGTCCGGATTCTGAAAACGCGAACTAAAAACGCCGCGAAAATTTCACGCTCTACAGTAGATAAATTCAGCCCTGGTGCCTGTAACTCAGCAATGATATCACCGACGGTTACTGATGTTTCGGTTCGGTGATGGTGCAAGGAGAATTACCTGGCGTCTAGTAGCACGATATTGCAGGGCTACACGGAGTCGCACGGCTATTTGGTGCCATTCCAGTAGGACGAAACACATGATAGTACATTGCCATTCTCTGCACAATACTCCGAGGGAAAATTGAACAGTCTCCGAACTCTCTGTGTGCGCGTCGACATTGTATTTCTGTGCATGCATTACACATGGGAAGGCACGACTGCTAGTAGATCTACCTGATGCCATTCCGGTTGGTACTTTCTCTGCATACGTTAACTTTACCTTTGGATAAAACTAGATCGGTGGATTCCCCGTGTAAATACCATTTAGACGACTCATTGACATTTTGTGGGAATCGCAGCAAGTCGGTAACATGCAGAATACGCGGATGTGCACCTGGCAATAATTCGTCCGTCAGGAATGACAAGCGACTTCGACTGTCTGAACTTTGCTCGAGGCTATCAGTGAGCGGGATCCACTGGGACTGGCTTTGCCCAGGGGCGATTCCGCATTCCAGTACCTTCGGACTGGGCGGGAGGTCTACAGACTGTCATCCAGCGGGATGTTTCCCACGACTGACCTAAATGTCGGCTGGTTTCGATCTCCTAACTCACCCACTATCCATCAGTATATAAATATGTGTTGTTGTATATTCACGTTTAGAACGACAGCGTTGGGCCTTTCCTTCAGTCAGCTCTGGAAAAGGAAGGTGAGTGAAAGCTATGTTTCCCAAAGGTCGCCTGTGTGATCCCATTGTCCGGTTGGTGTTGGCTGAGTAAGGTCATTTGCCAGACAGACAATGCTGCTTCCCCAGGGCAAAGTTGGGTGCACTGAAGAATATCTAGCAAGGGAGAAATGAGAGATATGCATGAAGGATGCGTGTGGTTTGAGATTGCGTCTTCGCTGCCCTGCTGTGGATATGCAGGAATGCCAAACGCACCCGTGGACCATGGGTATAATTATAATAAATTATAATATAAGTAAAATAGTGGACCCTTTGAAACTTTCTTTACACTCCCTCCTAGCTCTCTGTCTGTCTGTCTGTCTGTCTGTCTGTCTGTCTGTCTGTCTGTCTGTCTGTCTGTCTGTCTGTCTGTCTGTCTCTCTCTCTCTCTCTCTCTCTCCCTCTTTCTCTCTCTCTCTCTCTCTCCCTCTTTCTCTCTCTCTCTCTCTCTCTCTCTCTCTCTCTCTCTCTCTCTCTCTCTCTCTCTCTCTCTATTTATCTATCTATCTCTGTATAAACGTGACATAGTTGTCCCCCTCTGCGTGTGACCATTCCGCTATTCGACAGACCGGAACAAGAGCAACAGTCGGACGAGATAACTTCAATAAATTGAACTAAAATTCCGTTAGGAACCTTAATCGATAAATCAGCCTGATTTTATCGTTGAACCAGGCAAATATACCTGTCTATAACATAGGCCAACGACGCGAAAACTTCGATCAAACGTGCATACAGTCGTTTGCATAGAAATCCGGCCCATGAGTCAATATTAGCGCCGGGTTTCCATACTAATGACGTTTTCCGAAAACCGATCCGAGGGCCGCAGGGGCCGCATGATCCTGGGCGCCACTTTCGGCACGTGGGTCGGATTTCTTTGGCCACGACTGTAGTTCTAACTCCCTACCATTTGCTTTGAAAGCAATGTGTAATAAGCCTCCACTAAAGCCTAACGCCCTCCGGCACTTTCCTTCGCACTCCCTTCCTTTAGCAGCGTATCCAATATTATATAATCACTTGGATTGCGTTGCAGAACAGTGTTTGATTTAGTTTGTGACTTTCAAGTACTGTTTTCGCTCTGTTAGAGCTCCTCAGCACAGCTCAGGGGACCGAAGCGAAGCTCTTCGCAATGAAATACGTTTCCGTGAAGCAAAGCATTTTTATAAAGAGCTGCAAACCCCGCCAAGAGTGCTCGAAATGCTCCAAGAGCAGTGAGCGTTGCACAAGGCGACTTTCAACTAAAAAGTACCTTCGGAGTAGACCTTGTCCTGCGCCCTATTTGTGGGGCGAAATCCGCTCCTTTCGTATACATGTATCTGTGTTGAACACTTGATGTGAAAACGATGTTCTGTGTTTTGCAGAGTTATGGGAACGAGCTTGTCAGCTCGAAAGCCATTTTTTCGTTGTTGACGATTGCCAGGATAATCGAGTAACTGCTTCATGCCAAAGTCAATGCAGGTGTACCCGCAGTCTATTGGGTGGTTTTTCAGTGTTCCCAGGCCTCTTGCACGGGAAAAATGCACACCAGTGCAACCTCAACATGCAGGAAATGAGCTAGAATGGAGGGGAATGAACACAAGCGCAACCTCAACGGGAAGAATATGAGCTAGAATGGAGGGAGGGAGCTAACATGGCTGTGGCAATTGTCTAATATCGAGGGAGCTAAACGTATGGTGCATGGCTAGCTAGCGTTCAAGTGCATCAGGTGTTTTACCCTTTATTTTTGAATGGCCAGTCATCTAGGAATTGCTGACTAAGCGGCTAAATTAAACTGGAAGGCTTCCCGATCTGCGAAGTCTACATTTTGAGATGTTTTTTAACTAGTTGACAGGTCGCTGGACATCCCATTGCCACTTGTCAGTCTGTGGCCTATTGTTGCACGTTTTACCTGTTCACTACCTGCTCACTACCTGCTCACTACCTGCTCACTACCTGCTTCAAGTGATGGATTGTTACTGGTAGCTCGAGTCAAACTGTTCCTTCTCTAGTACTTCGTAATTTGTCACAAAGTGGGTTGTATTTTTCAGACCTAAACTTGATATGACCTTGGTTATTTAGAAAAGCGATCCTGTCAGCTTTTCTATTATTTTCAGGCATTGTGTAGGCCTGGTACGAGCAAACCTTCCTCCAGTATAATAAACTCTGGTTGCGTGTATCAACATAAGTGGATACGAGATTTGCCAACCTAACGGTTATTACTCTTTTAATAATAAAATTAATAACTCTTTCCTGTCGTTTCAAACTGCAGTTGATCAACGATTCAGCAAGCATCCTATTTGCGTATAACCTGCCTACAACTTACAAGTGATCGATCTTCGCGATGAGGTTCTTGTATTGCCTAACCGTGTTGGCGTTGTTCGTATCCTTCGGTAAGTTTTTTTTTTTAACTTTGTTTTACTTCGCAAAATCAAAGTCACGGATCAATGTCCAGTTGGATAATGATCACTTGAAGCGTGTGTGCGCGTACTGTGATGGCATGTGAAAACCGACTTCACAGGCTCACAGTGTAGCAGATGCCGTCACGTTGCGATGGCTATGCGGGCCTCGTACATGTACTGGCACTACTGCCAGTACATAATTATTATACAGTGCTGGAAACCGAAATCCGACCCCTGACATTCTTTGCGATGTGGGCGCAGCCGCTCAGGGATCGGATTTCAGTTGCCAGCACTGTACAATTACATGTAGTGCAGTGAATAATTATTATGGTTCTGCTCTATTCCTGTGGTTGGATTTCACTTCCCATCCCTCTGACTATCATTATGATACTAGTAGTCAATGTCCCGAGACTCTCGGCAAGTACAAGTACACTGTAGCTGTCCTTCTTTGGTCTCATCAGCAGAGCTGAGAGCAACGTGTATTTCCCGCCGACCTGACTTGACACATGACTGACTGACGATCACCATGCGGCGGAGCACACGAGAAGTCCATCGAACCTTTGACTCGGCAAACCTGCAAGAAAGCACCACTCCCTGCTCAATACACAGTGTTTCGGGGAATTCACCCCTCATCAGTTGAGCTTGAGTAGACTGAGGAAGTATACCACTTACATGTATAGTAGTATAGACTATAGTATAGTATTTATTAGTGCAATTAGGAGTATAATCGATGCAGACATGGCCAGACAACAACGAGTTCATGGAATTTTTAAGGATTTTTATGTTATTCAAAATCGATTTTCGTGTTCCGCTCATCAGTGAATAGTATCGGAACTGAGGGTACTGTGTACAAAAATAGAACATTTTATAACAGCATAATTAATTAAAAGTGTGAACAACAAAGGAACTGCTACAGCATTACATAATAGGTGTCAAACATAGTGCTAACGTATATAACTGAGTGCAGCCACAAAGCAAGAGGTGATACAGTGCAACATGACACAACATTTACATCTGATAACCAGCTACGAGAACAACTTTAGCGCGACTACGTGCTTCTTTTGTTTACAAAGAACAGGATTATGCACACGAATACATACAGCTTCCAGAACCTTCAACTGCTTAACATAACTTGCACGGCACAAAACAGAAAAGTGAGAATCATCGTACACACTAAGACAATCTGGACGTGATAACAAGTGACAAAATACAGCTGACGTTTTGCTCACGTCGCTCTCTTCCGTCTCATCCCGCTCCTTTCCTTCGACCTCCTCCGCCCTATCCTCGTCCTCCGTCTCATCTTCATCATCATCGTCCTCATCACCACCATCATCATCATCAGTTGTGGCTGCACTCAGTTATATACGTTAGCACTATGTTTGACACCTACATTTTGTATTATGTAATGCTGTAGCACTTCCTTTGTTGTTCACACTTTTAATTAATTATGCTGTTATAAAATGTTCTATTTTGTACACAGTACCCTCAGTTCCGATACTATTCACTGATGAGCGGAACACGAAAATCGATTTTGAATAACATAAAAATCCTTAAAAATTCCATGAACTCGTTGTTGTCTGGCCATGTCTGCATCGATTATACTCCTAATTGCACTAATAAAATTGCTTTCTCCACGCCGACTCTTTAAGTATAGTATTTATATAATATTATTCATTATTTCTCTAGGGCAGTCCCCACAGACCTATGGTCTCCTTACGGGGTATCCTAGCCAATCTAGGATTGCGATTAGGCATATGCGGATAATGCCGGCAGAAAAATTGGCAGAATTCGGTACTTTTTCGGGTAAGTTTCATGCATGTTTGGTATGTGGATAAAGACATGGAGCATAATTCGAGGAATTGCCAGCCATAAGGTTTGTATGGCTCTGCCAATTTCACTGCTTTTCGAGCAGAACCTGCCACCTTTTCGAGCAGAATCTGCCACCTTTTCGAGCATTATCCGCACACCCCTAATTGCGATACGAAATTGACTTGGTGAAGCAGCAAGGCGGACCCATGACTTATAATTATGGTAACAGTTATCATGGTTATTCAATCATGTAGTATTCTCAAGGCTAAATCATCACCAGGGATACAAACTCACAAAGACGCTCCGTTTCCAGCGCGAGTCTGCTGCGCGACACATAGTCATTATAATTAATTTTATAATCTTTGCGAACACCAGATAGCGGAAGTAACGTTTCTCTCGAGTCGTAGTGAACAGTGCGCACGCGATCACAACATTCTACAGTGCTGGCAACTGAAATCCGACCCCCTGAGCGGTGGGTGTTCACATTCTTTGCCATGTGAGCGCACCGCTCAGGGGCCATGGGGTCGGATTTCAGTTGCCAGCACTGTAGCCTGTGTAGGTCCAGCCCAACCAGAAATCTTGTTTTTCGCATGGACGTGTATTTTTACAAAACCATTGCTAGCAGCCAGCTGCTAATAATACAATGTAGGACTGTACTGTACTGTAGCAGTGTAGGCCAGCTGAACAGTGCAGTCTGCATGCAGTACAGTACATTTGACTGTACATTTTAGTTCAATTTCCTTTGTCCTGAATGTGACGATGTCTTGGCAGGTCGGGCCGCTAACCATTGCCCGACGGCGTTCCCAGAAGAGTTCGGTGCCAGTTGCTACTCAATCACCCGGCAGGACACGACGTTCAGCGATGCTGCCGCAGCATGCGCAGCGGGCGGTGGTCGACTGGTTGAAATCAACACAGTCGAGGAGAACAACTTCGTGTTGACGCTGGTGAGTTCAAGCAAAGCAGTGAAAAAATATTTGGGGTGGAAAGAACATCCGAAAATATTGTGTACAGGAAGTCTGAAGAAAATGTTGAACGGTTTTTGCTGGGATGGCAGCTACACCATACACAATAGCTTAGTGGCAGAGCATCGCTGGCTACAAGCGAAGGTCCCTGGTTCGAATACTGGTGGTTACAGTCAATTTTTTCTTCTGACTTTTCACGTTTCAATGTCCTACTCCTAGAACTGTTGAAGATTGTACACAATTTTCAAGTGTCAGCAGCCTGATCACCTCTATGAATGTGGAAATCGGCATAGTTCTTTAGGTTTTTTGCTCGGCATTATAAAATTTAAAACAGAGAGATTCCAGGCTGTCCAAGAGAGTGCTCAATACTGAGAGGCAGAGCTGGTTCAAACAATAAGAGGACAGAGAAAGTGTTTTTACTCCGAGTTTCACGCACTAAGCGATGATCAGACAACAGAAATGAGTAAATCTGGATCATCATTATATAATTTATAATAATTATTGTTTTACAGTTTCCTCTGAGACAAAAATGCGATAATACTCATAAAAAGGACACACTTCAGGCTCATTACAAACATCTTGAAAGTTTTTAAAGTTGGTTGCTCCAACGAGGAGCACACGCTTCTTGCCGAACTTGACACTTGACTGACTCACGACTGCCATCCGGAGCACACGAGGAGCACGTCGCACCTTCCGCTCGGCAAACCTGTAAGAAAGCACCACTCCCTGCTCAATACACAGTGTTTCGGGGAATTCACCCCTCATCAGTTGATGTAAGTTTGTATCCCTGGTGATGGTTTGGCCTGGAGAGCAGTATATAAGTGGTGCTTTTCAGGCACAATCTTCCTCAGCCTACTCAAGCTCAACTGATGAGGGGTGAATTCCCCGAAACACTGTGTATTGAGCAGGGAGTGGTGCTTTCTTACAGGTTTGCCGAGCGGAAGGTGCGACGTGCTCCTCGTGTGCTCCGGATGGCAGTCGTGAGTCAGTCAAGTGTCAAGTTCGGCAAGAAGCGTGTGCTCCTCGTTGGAGCAACCAACTTCATGACTATTATCGCCGAAGTCGCAACTTCTAAGTTTGAAAGTTTTTGTCTTCACAAGTATACTTTCAAGCCTTCTCGTCAGGTGAAATACAGGCAAAGGGAAAAGGAACAGGAACAGTGGATTAAATACAGTAAGAAGGTGGTAAAACAGCGCAAAAAAGAAGATAGCTAAAGTAAACAGCGAAAACTGCAATAATGACACAAAGGTGCAAATGCGAGAAAACTCAATAAGCGTGACATGTAGTGCGACAACAAGAGACAACCACTGGACATACATGTGGCTAACGAGGTTTTGACGACCTACCTAACAGCCTAAGTGTGAATTTGATTTGTTTCTGCTTGCAAAGGTTGGGTTTTTTGTGTGGATATATACGGCTTCCAAAACATTCAGCAATCTAGCACTGCGTACACGTGACACAATCGAAAAACAATCATCTGAATACACAGCACGACAATCAGGATGCTCAAACAAATGACTAGCAATGGACAACTCATACTTATCAGAACTAACATCAGAACAATCAGCATGTGCGGTGGACACATCCGATATCACATGGCTAGCCGAGTGGACCCTAGCCGTTGCCTCTGTCTGTGCTTTAGTCGCTGCCATCGCCATCGTTGCCGATCTTGTCATTCTTCTGGTTGATGCTGAATGTTTTGGAAGCCGTATATATCCACACAAAAAAACCCAACCTTTGCAAGCAGAAACAAATCAAATTCACACTTAGGCTGTTAGGTAGGTCGTCAAAACCTCGTTAGTCACATGTTTGTCCAGTGGTTGTCTCTTGTTGTCGCACTACATGTCACGCTTATTGAGTTTTCTCGCATTTGCACCTTTGTGTCATTATTGCAGTTTTCGCTGTTTACTTTAGCTATCTTCTTTTTTGCGCTGTTTTACCACCTTCTTACTGTATTTAATCCACTGTTCCTGTTCCTTTTCCCTTTGCCTGTATTTCACCTGACGAGAAAGCTTGAAAGTATACTTGTGAAGACAAAAACTTTCAAGATGTTTGTAATGAGCCTGAAGTGTGTCCTTTTTATGAGAATTATTGTTTTGATGTGCAATTCAAGTCCGTTGGTATGTATTGTTTCATTCGCATCTCGCCTGAGCTCTGTATATTGTTTTCCACCCAAACGTAGCCTCAGAATAGTGGCGGTCTATTCTTCAGCCTTGCAAGCTGTTGAATGGTGCAATTCCAGCACAAGTTGCTATGGCTTCTGCTGTAGCATCGCTATCATCGCCTTCGGCGATGGGAGTCAAAAGGTCAAAAGGTGTGTGTGTGTGTGTGTGTGTGTGTGTGTGTGTGTGTGTGTGTGTGTGTGTGTGTGTGTGTGTGTGTGGTGTGTGTGTGTGTGTGTGTGTGTGTGTGTGCGTGTGTGCATGCCTGTGTGCGTGTGTGTGTGTTTGTGTGTGGTAGAGTAGAACCCGGGTTAAGGGTCACACCGGATTAGGGATCGGAGCCCGGGGGGGGGGGGGGGGGGGCACTTGGCATGTACATTGTGCGGGTGATCCTTATACCGGGACTTAATTTCCGGCCCAAGGGGGGGGGGGGGGGTCCCCCGTCGGTTTCCGAGGAAGCCGTAATTTTTTCGATCCAAACAATTTTTCCGGGGTCCATCTTGTCACAAAAAGTCGTTTTGCACACCTTTTTGCCCATCCCAGTACAACTGAGTCCAGCTATGTCCGCGCAGAGTTAGGTAGATCCCTAACCCCGGTTCTACTCTACATGGTGACCTATCATCGCCTTCGGCGATGGGAGTCAAAAGGTGTGTGGGTGTGGGTGTGTGCGTGCATGTGTGCGTGTGTATGTTTGTGTGTGGTACATGGTGAGTGCATGCGTGCATGCGTACATGTGTGTGTGTGTGTGTGTGTGTGAGAGAGAGAGAGAGAGAGAGAGAGAGAGAGAGAGAGAGAGAGAGAGAGAGAGAGAGAGAGAGAGAGAGAGAGTGAACGCGGGGTGCGTGTATTGGTTCCGTGATTGTAGCTGTACTCAGCCTGCCTTCCTCCTGGAGCTCCTGCGGTGTACGCTTGTGTCTGCATTGCCAACAAACTTCTTCTGCGAACATTCTGGAAATGTAATATTCTCGAGGAGGATAGGAGGAATGCGAAAAGCTACAAAACTTTTTTCAACTCAAAGTTACAGCACCGATTCTGATCTCATAATTTTACCAAACTGAATAAGTCAATTTCTAAAGTAACTTGGTGGAGAGTGACAAGGAACTGAACAGGATGCGAAAACACATGATTGTGTTGTAGGGGAAAAATCTGATTTTCATACTTTAAAAGTACAGTCAGACCTCGTTTAACCGCACAAATCCATTTGGCACAAAAATATCCGGATAGACGAGGGAACCGGATAATCGAACACTGGTTGTGTTGGATGCATCACGTATGCTGTAAATCTGTAACCAGCTATTTTCTTCCGGATGGCGAGGGATCCGGATAAAAGAGGACCGGATCGGATAAGGGAGGTCTGACTGTAATAAATAATGCACGGGGTCTGTGCATTCACTCTCTTGGCAGCACATTTGCTTAAAGATGGTCGCCAGTTACGCATTTCTCCCTACTGTGTTCGCTGACAGACTGCGACAGCCGGAGTCAACACGTGGATTGGCTTGGACAGCGCGCCGACCGGGGGCAACGTGTTCCGCTTCAGCACATCCCAGGCGAGCCCGGTGTTCATCGGCTTTGCGGGCGGTGCCCTGCCCAGCCTGACCGGCCCACACTGCACGGAGCTGCAACCCCCCAGCGGTGTCTGGGCGGCTGTGGACTGCTCGCAAGAGAAACACTATGTGTGCGAGCAAGGTTAGTAAGTGACCCACACTATGCTAGTCCCACCTCACCGGCACAGGCTCCCTGAGAGCCCCTACTAGTACATTGTCTGTCTTTCTCCTTTGTTGTCTCGATCATTATTTTCTTTTGTCTCCTTCTTCTCCTCTCTTTGTTATGGTCTATCAGTAGGAGGTGCATTCTGTAAAAAAAAAAAAAAAATTATAGTGCGTAAAGTAGTATCGAATAGTCAGGCATCAGAACGCTGTCCATTCCGGCTAGAAAAACAAATCGAAGATTTTCAGAACCAAACTCTTTCGCTGTATTCCCTGCATGGGCCCATGATGAAAAGGGAACGAAAATGTTTGGTTCCGACGATCTTCGATTTATTCTTGTAGACTGATGTGTACAGTGTATAGATGCATGGCTATTGTACTATTCTAAGAACTGGAGTGCTTTCACTTTAGACCGACGCGTATAGCCGATTGGTTTGTAGTCTTGCCGGCGAATCATGAGGTTCCGAGTTCAAAACCTGCGCTGGTAACAGGGAGTGTGTTTAGTGCTCTCTCAATCGCTGTGATGCGGGCGAGTACCACTTTACATGCAATGAGCTGTGACGACACCCACGGTGAACTGGGTACTCACTTGCTCGGTGTGAGGGTAACAAGGATGCGGTTTATGGGGTTATAGGGCCTTTACACGCTTGCTTGTTGACTCACGTGTGGGGTGTGCATTTGACACTGAGGACATATGGGTGAAGTGGTGGCCCGCCGATGTGAATATACTTGCTTGATGTGTTCCTGAACACGTCAGGTGATGCGGCCGCGAATCCCGCTACTCTTTTCCACTTTGTTTTACAAACTATGGCCACACATACATGTATATGTATGCTGTGTAACTTGTAACTCAGGAACCTATTTTTGTAGGGAGATACTCATCCACCAATAACTACTTTCTATCACATAGAGCGTCCGTTATATCCAAGGTACCTTTTACTGAAGTTGCTGGGTGGAAAACATCAGGCGGAGAGAGAGAGAGAGAGAGAGAGAGAGAGAGAGAGAGAGAGTGAGAGAGAGAGAAGGAGAGAGAGAGAGAGATAACATCACAGAACATGCGGATAAAACCATACCAGCAGTCTTGAATTTCACACCGAAACACCATAATTATCCACGGCACAGTTTTGACAGAAAAACGTTTCTGTCGGAACGAATCGGTATCCGTTGGTTGTGATTCCATCAATAATTGCTATCTTGTCTCCCGGAACTAGAATAATGATCACTGCAGTAACTTTATAGAAAAGAAAAAGGACCAAAGAACTACAAGTTCCACTATAATGTCCACCGACACCCCCAGTTACTAAACAATCAGTTCCTTGGTCCTTTTTCTTTTCTATACATTCATACTTGGCTCTCCATCGGAGTCCATTCTTGCAGTATATTTTATTTGTCTTTGCTCCGCCATTGTGGTGTCTGACAGCGCAAGCGTTCGTGGCCTGCCCGCCGCCAAGCAGTCTCAACATCTCCGTCGCCAAGGAGGTCCTCTCGCAGTTCTTTATCGCCAACGCGTCCGACCTGCACATCGGCTCTGCGGCTAGTGACCCGCTGTGCCGAGTTGCCGAGGTGAACGGGCAGTACACGGCGCTCATCGAGCCCAACACCTGCGATGTCAGTTTCTCCTACGACCCAGCCATACCTCAAGTGGTAGGTGCCCACTGAAGATTCAATTCCGATGCCAGTGCATTACTACGACGGCGATTGTGCTGACAAGAAAGAGAGAGATTGGAAGCTGTGTCACAACTCTCGCCTGATGATCGTAGTAATACGTGAAACTCAAAGTTGCGACACGGCTTCCAATCTCTCTCTCTCTCTCTCTCTCTCTCTCTCTCTCTCTCTCTCTCTCTCTTGTGTACAAGGCTCTGCCCTACATGGGTATTGAGCACTCTTAGGACAGTGAAGCAAACCACTTGATTACAATTATGCTTATCGTGGACAATGCATAATAGTAGCACAAGCGTCAGGCTCTTCAACAACATGGTTATCGCAAGTAAGCTCGCGTGCCTTCTCTTCAGGATATTACCGTAGGAGTCACCCTTCTGTCTTTGTGTTCCACTTTCACGACAATAACACACACAGAAGTTTCCGCTGTGAGCACAGTGGCTCGGAAATGGGAAACGATGTATTTGGACATACTTTAATTTTGTTTGAAAAGAGTGTTAATGTAGAATGGACGCTGCTGGAAGGACAACTACAGTAAACGTGTCAATGCGACCACTCGGATAAGGCGACCACCTGTCCTAACAGACCACTGAAACTAGGACCAAGGGATGCTTTTTCCAGTCAAATGACCCCGGATGAGGAGACCACCTGGTTACAGAGACCACCTGGTAACAGAGACCACGTTTTGAAGATTCCTTGAGCGGTCGTCTTAGACAGGTTGCACTGTATACCATGGCCTGGCGGGAGGGTAATGTGAATGCAGTGATTGGGATTTTCGGCCTTTGACTCTTATCCGCTGACCTCCCACCACTTCGGGAGCTGCACCTGCACCTTGATCCTTGAGGATGGTGGCTGCAGATGTGGAAAATTCGATCTCGCTGAGTCAAATGAACAGCACCGTAGAATTATTGCAAGCAGGGAGTAGTAAAATACCGTTGTTTTACTACTCTCTGATTAAACGTATCACTACACAGTGGCTGGAACTGCAGACAGTGCTGGCCAAAGAAATCCAACCTCATGAATAAAATAGTGCGGGCGCTACGCAGCCCTAGCACTACACATGCTGGTCTGTGCACTCTAACGCGGCGCTACTTAATTCATGAGGTTGGATTTCTCTGGCCAACACTGTACCAGCGACCATCATGACACTGAGACTCCTCGCTGAGACCAAGCTGTGATCCGCGTGTGCTCAGGTGCGCTTGAACGCCATCTTGTATCACACACCCACGTCGGGCCTGATCACTCGCAGCCGCGGCCAGCTGATCGCGTTCGACTGCCAAGTGCAGACCGTGGACCTGGTCTCGAGCTCGGCCATCGACCCGCAGGCTCTACAGGCGTCACTCACGCAGGTGGGGTTTGGAGAGTTCACGGTCGGAGTGCAGTTCACCAGTGACTCGACCTACTCTGCGGCGCTCACGGCCAACACGATAACGCTTGGTAAGTCCATGCACAGTGTGTGAACTCAATGGTTTCCCTGCCTAACTTCTACTGGAAACCGTCCAACGTTTGCGTCACTAAAATTTTCGCGATTTCTCAGAACCAGCGAGTTTACGATGGCCCGTTTTCGCGGAACTCTGTGGCCACACACATACACCCGCTGTTGAAATTTGATTTCACGATGGTTAATATTCGTGTTATGCTCTTCTCGCAAAATTAACGTACTGCTGAGACAGCTTCCGTGATGAATGTCTCATGAAAATAGATTAGGAAAATTTGCGTGAAGATTTCCAATGCTCTTGTTGCTGTATTAAAACCTTTGTCTCTGCGTCGCTTGTTCATTTACTTCTTTGAACATCACTTGCTGAACTAACGCCGCAGCTCCTTGCTTATAAGAATACTGGGTAGAGTAGTTTCACATCTATCTTTTTGTAGTTGTTACTCTATTTTATTTTACACCAGAATTACAGGCTGTAGAATGCCTTCTCACTAGACCAGGTCTAGTTCTCACAAATGATGAAGAATCTCATGACCATACAGGACAGCCATGTATGTTCCAACTCCACTGAACCCCTGCATCACGTGATGTTGGCCATTTCGATTCCACCGCCCACATACCATGAACTTAATACTGCATGATCGCAATGTGAATTCACTCTACAGGCTGCGCGGGCTTAGCTTGGTGCGTGTATACTGCGTGTCCGTACGTGCTCATGCTTATGTTTATCTTTCTGCCTCTACACTGGTTTGTTTGCCTCATGTCACCCACAGGTGAGCCAGTGTTTGTGCAGACGTTCGTAGCCAACGATGTGCTTTCCAACCTGGATATATTCGTCGACCGTTGCTTCGCTTCGCCCAGCAGTGATCCCTCGGACCAGTCAACCATTCTGGAAGTGATTAACGATGAGTAAGTTAAATCATGCTGCCGAACCCTCGATTTTTCCCTGGCAAAAATGAATTTCACATCTCTTGGGATCCCTGCCGGTTTTTCCTAATATAATCAGTGAATTTTATAAAATCTAGTAATTTTTTATTAATCCATGGTTTGTAAGTGCTCACTACACTCAGTGCTCAGCATGGGGATTTTTTACTGGACAATCAGCCACTACTCATTGTACTGCATTTCCTTGTACTGCATTAAGCTGTTGCTATGTCAGATCTGGCCTTTGTTGATTTGGTGCTATGATGAGTTGTCCCTCTCTGGGCTCATTCTACGTGGAATATCGCTTATCATGCACTGCCCTGCCGAGCTTGTATGGTTACGACGGATGCTGTCCACGGGTTTCAACCGAGATCCAAGAATTTTTTCCGTCACTTGTTCTGCCCCTCTTCCTTATCTCATCATCATCAAAATAATTGAGAGGCTTTGAATCGTTTTTATCAAAATTAAATATTTGCCGGGTTGGAAGGTGGGAATCATCATCATCAGCCTTTTTGTGTTGGCATCCGCAAGCAGGCTTGGCTAGTCTTCCCTCAGGCCAAATGGAATATCTAGCCCCAGTGAAAGACGAAAATTTAAAGGGGAAGTTAAGGCTAAAATCAAAACTTCACCAGTTGTAGTCTTCGGGGTTCTGAGTCGAATGGTCGTGGTCCGAGGAAGCTGAGACGCTCCCTTCCTACTTGAATCCCAATCGAACTCGCGCACTTCCACCGAAACTGGGTGACTGCGCCCTACTAGATGGGGATTTGCAAAATGTCACTAAAAGCGCCATGTCGTTCTTATAAAAGCACGGTTGACCGCGATTGGTCCATATGTTGTAGTCTTTTGGACGCTGAGTCGACTGGTTTTGGTCCGAAAGGCTGTGATGCAGCGTTCCCCCGTTATTCCCAATCGAACATGGTTGAACAAGCGGTCACGTGCTCCTGCGTACACCAGTCACCTGGTCACCGTGCCTGCAGGGTACAACTTACTAGCCTGTTTGACCTCTTTGGGGTGCAGTCCTGTCACTCGAGTTGAACCTTGGTGTGAAAGTTGTCGCCTGCTGGCGCTGTGACCAGGTGATTTGGGCACCCAGGAGCACGTGACCGCTTGTTCAACCATATTCAATTGGGAATAAAGGAGGAACGCTGCATCGCAGCCTTTTCGGACTAAAACCAGTCGACTCAGCGTCCAAAAGACTACAACATATGGGCCAATCGCGGTCATCCGTGCTTTTATAAGAACGAAATGGCGCTTTTAGTGACATTTTGCATACAAATCCCCATCTAGTAGGGCGCAGTCACCGTTTCGGTGGAAGTGCGCGAGTTCGATTGGGATTCAAGTAGGAAGGGAGCGTCTCAGCTTTCTCGGACCAAGACCATTCGACTCAGCACGCCGAAGACTACAACTGGTGAAATTTTGATTTTACCCTTAACCTCCCCTTTAATATCTTCCCTTTTCCTCTCTGACAGTTGCCCTGGCAGCGTTCTGGCTCAGGTCACCGTAGCAACTGGCGGCGCTAGCAACGTCTTCAACTTCCAATTCAACGCCTTTGAGTTCCTCGTCGGCGGTGCGTCACAGCCATTGGTGAGTGAGCATCTGGTTAAAGAAAGTGTTAGGACTTACGTGTACTGTAAAGATACAAAATTTCGGCACTTCACGATTTTTGACATTTCGGCGGCGATTTATTTTCGGCGTGGGATAGAGGGCATGGTATAGTGCGACAGATGCTGTGAAAATGTCATCGGCGTTTTAATTTAGGCGTTTTGGGTCGGTGCCGAATATATGGTTGATAAATATGGTGGTAAAGACACACCCGGCAATATGGCGGTAAACACACGCTTGGTGCCGAATATAGCCGAAATTAAACAGCTGCCGAAAATTTGTATATTTACAGTACATCATTGGCCAGCGAATCAAAATAGCCAACAACAAAATCAATGGCCCTCAGTGCTCTATGTTCTGCTCATACAGTCAGACAGACTTACAGACAACGTACCATTTTTTGTTTTCAGAGTTTTCATGTACCGTACTTTCAAGTATAAGCAGAAAATTTCGTGGGTCAATAATTTCGTCCAACTCCAAAGAAAGGGAGTTCGTCCGGTTGTAAATTTGGTCCGTGGATCATAAGAGTGTATTGAAAAGCTGGACAAATCGATATTAGTCCGGCACTTAATTTAGTCCAAAAGCTCCTTGGATGAAAAAGACGAAATTAAATTCCAGACGAATATTTCTGCTTGTACAGTATGCGATGCATCACCACGTGATGTTTTGCGTGTATGCCACCATACATGCGTGTGCACGAGGTGCACGACCTCATCCACATGGTCCTGTGTTTACACAATCTGCGGACAGATCCGTCTCGTCCTTTGTGGACTCCTCAGCGCCGCACAGAGAAAATTAGGCCGAACCTGATAGCAACGAAAAATTAAAATTTTCCAAGGCCAGATTTAAGACCAGGCCCTAACGTACCTTGCCAGAGTGCTCAAACTGACAAGTCAGCGAGCTCTGCATGGTCATGTGTTTAGACGTGTGCATTCAAATGACACTGTACTGCGGCGTACACTATCATCAAAAATTGACACAATTTGAAGGCGATCAATCGGTGGCTACATTTACGTTATATGGACTAAGAGCCACCGAAATCTAGAAATGAGTAAGGAGGGGGAGGGGGGGGGGAGAGAGGGACGGGCACTGCTCCCCCCCCCCCCCTTTTGGCTATAACCCTGCGATATGCATGTGTATTAACTCTGTTATCATGTGTATTGTCATGCACAGCTATACTTGCACTGCACAACACGCGTCTGTGATGCCAACGTGGGCACCAGCGTGTGCGTCACCGATGTCGGAACGTGCGCCCGCCGACGCCGAGACCTGGACCTGATGGGACGCTGGCGACGACAGTCACCCACCGACCCGTACGCGCCCGGAACTGCTCCGCTGCCGCAGACCAGCACCATCGGGCCGCTCAACTTTGGTAAGGCTTTCATCTTGTTCCGTTTGGCCTTATGAGGCCAATTAGCTTCCATCACTTACTCTTGGCTTGATCATAGGAGGCCAGGTAGCTCTTTCGGTCTGTTCATCAATGATTTAGTTCCGATCCCACCAAAGTTCGCTCTATGGCCGACCTCATTCACATTTAATGTACTGTAAGTCCACAAATAGTCGGCGCATATTTATTTTCGCCTATTTTCGGCCTGATCGTATTTGGCCGAAAATGTGTTGCCGCCGACGTTTCGTTTTGCAAGGTTCAGCGTGACAGTGTATACAGGCGACAGCAGTGCAGGCCGAAAATGCGTTGCAACCGAAATGTGTTTCAGCCCCGGGAGGCCGAAATTCGAATGGGCCGAAAATTTGTCGGCTCACAGTATCTACAAGAAAATGGAGGCGTCTTGCTAGTGTGATTTAAGTCTGACATACATGCAGAGCACACGTGATAGAGCTGGAACTAAATTTTTTCTTTCGACTTGGCGCTAGATATGTTGGCAAAGTAAACATCTCCTGGATGCGGTAATGTGTCGTGGAAATTCCAACATACTAGAAGAAATTGAGACTTCTCATATTATTCCAGGGTGCGACAGAGCTCTCGGCCATTGGAGAAAATGTTGAGTCACTTCTCAGACACAAATATTTGTATTGTTGCACTTCACTTCTTTGTGGTAGTCCGCAGAAGTACAGTCAGCCCTCGCATAATCGCACACATCCGTTTTCCACAAAAAAAACATCCGGATGGCGAGGGATCCGGATAAAAGAGGACCCGGATATTAAGCAAGGTCTGACTGTGACCCGTATTATCTTTTGCCTGATGGCATTCACATTGATTCAGAAAGCTGAACGCGACTGTGAAACCTGTCTAAGACGACCGCTCAAGGGACCTTCAAAACGTGGTCTCTCTTACCAGGTAGTCTTCTTACCCAGGGTCATTTGACTGGAAATAGTATCCCTTTGTCCTGGTTTCAGTGTTTTTCATGACAGGCGGTCGCCTTCTCTGAGTGGTCGCCTTTACAGGTTTTGCTGTAGTACATGTATCACTCCTCAAGTATGTTGACAAAGCAGCTGAGTCACATTTTTTCTAAGCACTCCCAGACTCCATTGTAGCCACTCACACATTACAGGGTACCTCACTTCAAACTCTCCAACTACGGTCTCCTCGCTGCATGCGTTTCTCTTCACTTCCGAAAAATATATTAGATACAAATTGAATGCACCAAATTTTCGGGCATGGCCCATGTCACAGGTACAGCAAAACCTGCCCTAACCGGACACCTGTGGTGCAGCTGAAACTGTCCTGATATGGCAGGTTTCCTCTGGATCCAGGGATGCACATTCGGTCCACAGCACTTTGGTGCATTTAAAAAAAATCTCTCCGGTCAATGCAGGATTTCGCTGGGCACAGAGTCCGGAAAACACAGGTTTTACTGGATTATAATAATAATAATAACACAGTGAAACCTGTCTAAGACGACCGCTCAAGGGACCTTCAAAACGTGGTCTCTGTTACCAGGTGGTCTCCTTATCCAGGGTCATTTGACTGGAAATAGCATCCCTTGATCCTGGTTTCAGTGGTCTTATTGGACAGGTGGTCGCCTTATCCGAGTGGTCGCCTTGACAGGTTTTACTGTAATAAAATAGTCCTGTTGGCAGGCAGGCAACACACAGTGTATGGATCATTCTTTAATGGGTGACTAGAAGACGTTCTTGATCCTTGAAGGGTGGTGGTGTTCCTACGGATGTGGAAAACTCGGCCTCTAGCCGAGTCGCACGCGAACCGTGATTTTTTCATTCAGGGGCCATCCGTAAATATAGATATTTATTTAGAAACGAAAACTAGTCGGTTAGGGGGGGGGGGAGGAGGGGGTTGAGCGCCTGTTCGTTTCTCGAAAAGTATCGATGTACAGTTCGTATGTGTGGGCATGTCCAGAAAAACGGAAAAATATCGATATTATGTACCGTTTGTATGTGTTCGTTTCTCAGGGAGGGGGTGAGACGGGTTTATTGTCCAGAATCCAACTGACTTCAAATCACTACTGAGGCCTAACTATATATGGCCAAGGCGTGAGTGTAGCCAGCAATAGTCGCCAAGCGTTGCAGGCAGCACGAGCGCAGGTATGACATATGGTATGGTATGCAAGTGCTACCTATGGACAATACCAGCACCTAACAAGGCAGTGTGAAGGTAGCACCAAATGGAAGTTGTGATCGTCACGGTCCAGCTCTCACACTCCCCCACCGAAACTCAACTAAATAGTCAAATAAAACTCAAAGTAGATGCATGTATAACTAATCCAAAAGTATCACGCGAATGATGAACTTCGTTATACCCAAAATAATGCATCCATCATTTCCATGCCCATATCTCTTTTGTAGACTTTGCACAAAGTCACACATCTTCACTGCTGTCATCAGTTTCCGACAAATCTGCATCCGCTCCACTGCTGGCTGAGCTAAACCGAGATCGCCGCTGTTTCGGGTCCACTTTAAGGAATTTTGTCGGCCGCTTAACCCGTGTACTCTTTCGTACCAGAGTCCCTTCCTCGATTGCCTCGCCCGTAGTGCCATCGGTTACCAGGGTTTGGTCACTTGGAGACTCGCCTTGTTCCCAGCTCATTGTAATGGCGTTGAAGGCAGTGGTGGCGAGAACTAGACCCACACGGTTCGAGGAGGTACGTATTGTTGTTTCTCTCAACTACGGTATACAGCTCAGATTTGTGGGCGTGTAGCTTCCCCAATTTTCGTTGCGCAGGCTGAAGCTTTATTCGGACCTGTTGACCCACCTCATAACCACAGTTAGCCTTGCCGCCAACTCGCTTCCGTCTTTCCTCTTGAGCACTCTTTATTCGAACTTTCACTTGCCGAAACACGCTGTCCGTGCGTTCTACTGTCCGCGGAGGCTTCAATCCTGCAGGCGGAGGCACTGCGAACTTCTTTGGCCTGTTCGGATGCTGGTGAAATAACAGTTCGTATGGAGAGTGTCCAGTGGTAGCATACCGTATTTCCTCGAATAATAGACCATGCTCAAATAGTAGACCCTCCTAGAGGCCTCACGGAAAAATAGTAGACCATGCCCGAATAAGAGACCCGGTCTCTTATTTGAGTTCATCGCTTTGCGCATGCGCACTAAGAAAGCACGCGGTGGATCAAGAAAGGACGCGATTTTCGGTTGCGCAACTACAATTTTTGTAGTGGCTAGTGCTTTCTTTCATTATTTGAGCATGGTCCACTATATTTTCATCGGCACATCGCTGGAAATGGTGGATTTTTAACACGTCATAATATAGAACTTCTATATTATGACGTGTTAAAAATCCACCATTTCCAGCGATGTGCCGATGAAAATATAGTGGACCGTGCTCAAATAATGGACCATGCCCAAATAAGAGACCGGGGGTCCAACCCTCCTCAAAAAACAATAGACCGGGTCTATTAATCGAGGAAATACGGTATCTCGACGTATTATGGGCGTATTGCACCGCACGAACTGCTTCAGGCCATACCGTTGTGTTTCCTCACATACACACACACACACACACACACCACACATTATCGATGGACAGGCAGCATAAGCGCAGGTATGACATATGGTATGGTATGCAAGTGCTACCTATGGACAATACCCACACCTAACAAGGCAGTGTGAAGATAGCACCCAATGGAAGGTGTGATCGTCACGGTCCAGCTGTCACGGGGGGGGGGGGGGGGGGGGCAGGGGGTTGAAGAGAAATGACCAGTTTTCGTTTCTAAATAAATATCGGTATTTACGGATGGCCCCTTAGGGGACTGATTTTTGGGAAAAATTAATTTATCACTCGGTGGTTAACCACCCTCTTTTACATATTTGTCTTGTGCCTGTAGTTCGAGAAGATGGAAAGCCTGGTGCGACTGATGCAGGGGGTGCCGCTGCTGCCACATCTCCTGCAGCGTTCTACGGCCTTCTGCTGAGCCTGGCTGTGCTGTATGTGGCTGTGTGATTTGCGTCCGGACCGTTGACCGTATTTTTTAGAGACTGTTTCCGTATGCATTTACACTACCATGCTAGTGTCGCTCAGCTGGCACTCACGAGACATTTCTCCAACGGAATACTCCCCGACATGCCATACCGCTGCACAAACCTTTCCTCTACCACTGCATACACCATTCCTCAGTAGCCAAACATGCTGTTAGTATTTCCATAGATTTCGTGATTTTTTTCGTGAGTTTTTGTTATTCTTACACACACCGTGCGTGTCAGCACTTGTCTTGCTGGCTATTGCACGTACAACCCCAGAGCTCATAGTAGTGATATGAGTTCTGCACGTCTGCACTCACTGCACAGTTGGGCCTTCGCCTTTGCTTTTGCCGCCAGCTCAAGCCTTCTACTTCGCAATGGACCAGATTTAGTTCTTGTTTCAATAGTAGAGCAAGGTCAGTTAGGTTGTTGTGTCTCTGAGTTTCACGCTCAATGCCTCCGTGGCCATCACAGATGATTGCAACTGAGCACGAAGCCCCAAGTTGCAACACAACTAACCTTGTTCTACTGTTACCCTGTGCTCTACACTCTTCCTCCACGGTATCCCAGCGCTATCAGACGCCCCCACTAGCCACACTACATGTTAACATGTAATGATGTAATGATGTAATGATGTCATGATGTAATGATGTAATGATGTCATGATGTAATGTTGTTCATTGTACATCACTACTGTACAGTGAAAACCTACCTGTCAAGGCGATCACCTGTCCTAGAAGACCACTGAAACCAGCACCAAGGAATGCTATTTCCAGTCAAACGACCCTGGATAAGGAGACACCTGGTAACAGAGACCACGTTTTGAAGGTCCCTTGAGCGGTCGTCTTACACAGGTTTCACTGTATTAAGGTTTGCTTGACCATGTCATTGCGGAAGAAGATTACATTGTACATGGTTGTACACATGTACATGTACCGGTATAAATACTAACACAGATCGGATCTTTAAAAATGCAACTGCATTTGAGTGGGACGTCTACGTGGCATGCGGACAATAGAACATCATGGCACCCATGGAGTGTACCTTATACAAGGGAGCCCCGGATGGATTGAGTCGACTGAGTTGGACCCAAAAAGGCCGCTATGCATGGTTTTGGTGTGCAGACCCAGTGCTGATCAATGAAATCCGACCCCTTGAGTCAAACACCCGCCAGTTGTTGTGCAGCCCTAGACCTGTGAACACTGGGAAGTGAACTTGTCCAGGGCGCAGAGCTGCCTCCCTCGATCGCATTAATTTCATTCAGCAACACAGTACATCAACTGTGTACATCAACAGTTGTATTTCAATCATGTACATGTGGATGTTGGCTGTCACGTGATCGCACTCACCTCTTTGAAAGTATGCGCAGAGGTTTTTGTAATTCTGTAATTTGTAACTCTTTACTTAAATATTTGAAAGTTATTTCTGGATTCCCCAGAGGCTGGAAGTGGAAGGCCTGTCGAGGGGGTCTCCGTACCTGTACATGTACCAGTATTTGTAGTACAGTGGCTGCACGAGACTGCTGCCAGACTTACTACTGTAGTACTTGTGCACGCAGGCTAATGAGACCCTCAGTGTGACAAATGATATAGTCCAGCCTGCTAACAGCTGGGGGCGAATACAAACACAGTTTCTCGTCTGCCAAGTGCCAAGTACGTTGTCATGATCAAATTTCGTGCTTCAATGGTGGACCCGAAGGGCCAAATTCGGGAATCGAGACGAGGTACACGCGATACATCTGTGTGCGCCACCAGCAGGGAAAAGCACTGGTGAAATGCGATCAAACGGTGAACTGGTGTCAGAGGTGATGGATGCGCTGTACACTGGTACAGGTGCTTGCAGCCGATGAGGAACACGTGTTCGCTCAGTACTCATCAATGGTTGAAGTCACACTTATCAATGTGTTTCATCACTTTCTGAGTTTGTGCCCAGGTGACGAATCCTCTTTTGGCCATGTGGCTGTGTTGTGGAGTCTCAAGTCGGACAATACGCACTAAGGCATGCTGATGGCCCCTAGACCGTGGTGCACCGGATGGCGTTCCTGTTGATGCGGAAAACGCAGTTTAAACTGTGTCTCACGCGAGCCATGAAATATTTGTTGAATGCCCTACTGCACCAATATTATTACAAGTACAACTTGAAGTAGCAATCACTTCGCCGTTGAATAATATCTCTGGAGCTCTCCTAGCTTGCTAGGCAACTCTGTAGCATTGCTTGAGACAGTAGCACGGGTCATTGTGTCGATTTTCTGATGAAAAAGTCGAAGCCTGATTCTTACGCCTTCATGGCTTCAAAGCCTACTCAGAAACCAGTTGACAGTTGGGTTCCACTTCCGCATCTTGCCATGTCTTTGCGATCGTAGGTCAAAGCACTGAGCCGTAACAAACATGCAGCCTGTCCACCCTTGCCACCTTCCAAAGCAGGACACCTACATGTACATGATTGTACATGTACAATCATGTACATGTAGGGTAGTCCAGCGGATTCTGCCGGCGGAAAAAATTGGCAGAATTCGGTACTTTTTCTGGTAAGTTTCATGCATGTTTGGTGTATGTGGATAAAGAAATGGAGCAGAATTCGAGGATCTGCCCGCCATAAGGTTTGTATGGTTCTGCAAATTTCACTGCTTTCCGAGCAGAATCCGCCGGTCCCTATGTACATGTACAGGTGTACATGTACAGGTGTACATGTACATGTATATGGAATGTATAAAAGCAATTGTCTCCCATGTAAATGTATAAAAATGTTTTGGTCCAAAGCAGGACTCCTCCTGCTCAAAGCCGGACGGTTGGACAGTCATAATAGACGTGATGAAGGATGCCGGGTTTCTTAGCACTTCTTACCCAGTCTGCCATTATTCCCTTGTGAGATTGGTGTACCAGCGACCATCTTACCAGCAGGGCTGCAACTCAGACAGCCGCCAGTCCTTCAAGGAAAGTGCCACATGTACAGTCAACTTGGCTAATAACAACTGCGGATATAACGACAAATCGCGAATAACGACAGAATTTCCATGCCCAGAGCAAAGTCCCTTCCAACTGTGACACATACCGGTGATAATGAGACTTCGGGTATAACGACACTTCGCGAATTAGGACACTTTTCTGATGCCCCGCAGAGTGTCGTTATAAGCGAAGTTGACTGTACATGTACATGTATCTGCTGCACCTGAGCTGGCAAACAGGCACCTACGCCCCATGAAGATCTATACATGTACCGGTATACCTACATGTATAAACAGTGCTGGCAACTGAAATCCGACCCCCTTGCCGGTGCGGCGCGCCGGCAAGGGGGTCGGATTTCAGTTGCCAGCGCTGTACATGTGCAAGTACACGTAGACCAGCGCCTCACTAACACGTTAGCATCTTTCCTCCCTCGTCACTACATGTACAATACAGTCATGTACATGTACATGTACATGACTGTATTGTACATCTCATTCTCCGCCTCTCAAGACCGTCTACCAACTGTCCACGTTTCTCCCAATTTTGATTTTCATTAGTGGTGTAGCCATGTACATGTACATGTGTAAATGTACTTCGAAGTATAATGCTCGAAACATTGGCAGATTCTCTTCAAAAAGCCGTTAATTGGCAGAATCATTCCAACCTTACGGCCGGTACCTCCTTGAATTCTGCTCCATTTCTTTATGCACGATTCCACATACATGTACATGTACATTGTATCAAACATGCGTGAAATACTCGTACACCAGAAAGAGTACCATGCCGATTTTCTGCCGGCATTATCCGCCAAGGCCAGGGCTACATGTACATGTACATGTATCCGCAAAAGCTGAGAACACCTCCATCGTGCACACTCCGCCACAGGCTGGCTCTCAGCTGCGCTGAATAGAAAGGTTCAGCTGGGCAGGCGCGTCAGCCATGATCCTAAAAACAACGTCAGTTTGAAGTGCGTGACACGCCACGCCTGCCAAACCACCTTTATCGCCGCCACCTTTATCGCTACTGCTGGCACTAGTACATGTACATGTACGTCGTTTGTTTTTGCCCCACAGTCATCCTTGTGCGAGGAGCCTAGTAACTAGCTGCTGTCAGTGCTGCGAAGTGATTGGCTTGTGTTTGAGAGTCACACACGTGGTTGGGTGATCCTGTCCGAGTGCCCTTTCGAAGTAGCCTTTGCCTTTGGCGGATAATACCGGCAGAAAGATTGGCAGAATATTGGTATTCGAACTCAGGCTTTTCTGGTACATGTATGTTTCGTGCATGTTTGTTACATGTACATGTACATGTATGATTGTGGATAAAGAAATGGAGCGGAATTCGAGGAAGTGCCTGTCGTAAGGTTTGTGTGGTTCTGCCAATAGCACTGATTTTCGAATGTAATCTGCCAATGTTTCATTGTTTGGAGCATTTTATCCTCCAAGCCCAAGGGCTGGTGTACCTGTAAGAACAATGACTGATTGTACAGTCATGTACATGTACATGTATGGTCAGCATTTCACACTCGATTCTTATCACGTGCATAGTGAGCATCACACTCGATTCACAGCACCATTCTCGCTCCGCTGAAAGAGGCTTGAAAAATGAAAACACGTAGATCTACGTGTGCATGTACATGTACATGTACTTGGCTCAGCTTTATTCCACATGCACAGCTAGCAGTGGCCTTGGTGTGACTGTGTGACGGTGTGAGCGTGACCACGGTGACCGCAACTTCCCCATACAAGAATCATGTGGCTTGTGGCCTAGCCGATCCGCGGACGTGCGACCACGGTCATCGTACATGAACTACTTCATGTACTTGAAATACGCGTGTACTTTGTGTACATGTACATGACCATTGTGTAACGAAAACTCAACACCATTGATCACACGGTATGGGGCCGGATACCTCCAAACCAAAGCATAATGCGAATAACGTTACAATGCTCCCCCACTCTCTCTCTCTCGCTCTCTCTCTCTCGCTCTCTCTCTCTCTCTCTCTCTCTCTCTCTCTCTCTCTCTCTCTCTCTCTCTCTCTCTCTCTCTCTCTCTCTCTCTCTCTCTCTCTCGCTCGCTCGCTCGCTCTCCCTCCCCCACCCACTCTTGGTGCGTCTAGGTGGCCATGAAGTCGAGACCCTAGGTCGGCGGAGCGCTCTCTAAACCTCACCATGCACCACTGCCACGATTCAGGTTGTGCGTGCTTCCCCTAGCTGCATCTCATGTTTGGCATTTAAGTGGTCTTTGTATAAAAAAATGAAGAAAAAAAACACAAACATGACAGGGTGCTACTGAAGTACGGGAACATGCCAGTCTCGAAAAGCAGGGAAATTGGCAGAACCATACAAACCTTATGGCGGGCAATTCCTCGAATTCTGCTCCATTTCTTTATCCACATACCAAACATGCATGAAACTTACCAGAAAAAGTACCGAATTCTGCCAATGTTTCTGCGACATTATCCGCAAAGGCCTAGTCCGAG